AAGAATCAAAAAATATGTAGGTAGCAGGTGCTGAGTTTTGTATAATGAGTTGTGTGTTTGTTGTTTCTTCTTATAGGTGAGAAACAGCTCAACCACCAGCTGGGGTGGGTGGAGGAGCAAAATTCTTGGTGTGTCTAGTGACGGGCACAGCCCACCAGCTCAGCCATACAGCGCATGAAGAGATCATGATTAGGAAGGGCACACAGGAGAGCCAGGTGTGCAACAGCCGACAAGGAAGATGCATTTTCTTCCGATGTCACAAAGCTTCACTTTCATTATCGAGTAATCACTGTAATCGCATCACTTAGTTCATCCAACATTAACCACAATGGAGCAAAAGAAACATGATGGTATCAATATCCTAGTTCCCCCAGTTTTACAGACACCCGGAACATTCTCTTTTTACAATGTTTCACAAGTCATAGAAAATGATAGGACAATCTCTTTATTGATGAATTTATAATCCATAACTTTAAAATTTGTTAAATTGATTAATTAATATGGGGGGGAGATAATTAGGCTTATTTATTTATTTATATAATTCATAACTTTTGAATTCTTGAAAAGGTGCTTTAAAGGTTGCTATTTCTAGGACGCTAATCATCTTGGTGTTTAGGTGGTTAGATCCATTAAGCCAAAAAAGACATATAAGTGAATCAATACATAGAAGCTTTGCCTGTCCCCAGCCAACAGCCTTTAGTCTGAAGTAATGATTTCCATGGGGAGGGTTAGAAGTTTCCTTGGATTGATTCACCACTGATGCAAAAATCAGAGGGAGGCTTGGGTGAGCAGTCATTTGTTGGCTGGTGTATGGTGGTGATTACAGAAGGAATATCCAGGTACATTTCCTAGTGGAGGCGTTAGTCTCTCACCAGGAGTTTCTGTTATAGAATCCAACCAGTATTTATGACAACGGGTCTTCTAATATGACATATTGAGTTGGGAAGCCCCATAAAAAAGACCAGCAGGACCCCCAGGCAGGGCCACTACTCTCCTGCCAGCACCATCTGGTTCCCTGGCCCAGAGGATCTATCTCACTTTTTGCCTCTGAAATGGCTTACTTCTAAGAAAGTGAAACCTATCCCTAAAAATTCTATTGGTTCCCTGAACTCACTCCTGATTGGTTATTTCATTCACTCCTGATTGGTCAATTTCCCTAACTTCTGATTGGTCCATTTGTAGTACTTCATTTACATGGAGCTCACTCCATGTAAATGGTTCTTTCTTTCACTCCTGATTGGTCCGTTTCCCTCACTCCTGATTGGTTGCATTTGTAGTATTTCCTTCGTTTGCATGGGGCTCACTCCTGATTGGTTATTTTTCTCCCTCCTGATTGGTCCATTTCTACAAAGCTTGTTCCTAATTAGTTAACTTTGGTTATACCTTATTTTCATATGATGTTGCAAAGTGTAAACTGGCAGCCTATAAAAGCCTGTGTAAACCTACAGATGGGGTTCAGAGCTTGAAATGTTAACTTCTCTGGGCCTGCTGGTGTAATAAACCTGAGTTCTTCGACTCTCTGAGTGCTGCTTGGTGTCTCACCCGGATCCAGGTTGCTGTCACAACTGAGCTGTAACACTGAGCTGTAACATGTTTTTCTGCAACAATATCACAGAGGCAATAATACCAAGCCCATACATAGCTCAATGACTGTGGAATTGGCCTCTCTTAATACAGAAAACCTTTTCACATATACTAAATAGTAGTGTGACTTTCTGTACTAAGAATATTCAAACTTCTCAGGACATATTCTTCAGGAGGGATATGTGATCCCTCCCTGTAACTTATAGCCAAAGTAGATGATTTTAATATTCTAGATCATATGGTAAAGCTCCTGTTTTACTCAAAGTGAAGGATAGCTGTAAGAGTGGTACATACATACAGTGGAATACATATTCGTCAAGGATCTCCAGAGAAGCAGAGCAAATGGGAGATCTAGTGAGCTAGAGACCCAGAAATAGATATGATTTATTATAATGAATTGGCTCACGTAATTATGAAAGCTGAGATGCTCCAAGGTCTGCCATTGGCAAGCTGGAGACCCAGAAGAGCTGATGGTGCAATTCCAGTTTGAAAAACAGTAGCTCAAGAAGCAAGGAGTGCCAATGTTTCAGTTCAAGTCTGAAGGCAGTGGTTAAAAACCAAGTACCAACTTGAAGGCAACCGCGTCTCCTACTCATGGGAGGGTCAGCCTTTTTTCAGTCTTTCAGCTGATTGGATAGGTCCCACCCACACTGGGGAGGGCAACCTGCTTTTCTGTCTACTGATTCAAATGTTAATCCCATCCAGAAACACCCTCACAGAGACACCCAGGATAGTGTTGGACCAAATGTCTGGACACCCTGTGGTCTGGTCAAGTTGACACATGAAATTAACCTTTACAAAATGCTGTTCAGCTTTGGGAAGGAAATTCTGACTTATGTTACAATAGGGATGAACCTTGCGGACATCGTGGTAAGTGAAATAAGCCAGTCATACAAGGACAAACACTGTATGATTTCCCATATATAAGGTACCTAGAGTAGTCACATTTGTAGAGATTCAAAGTAGAATGGTGGTTTCCAGGGCTGGGGGAGGGGGAAATGGAGAGTTACTTTTTAATGGGTACCAAGTTTTAGTTTTGCAGGATGACAGAGTTCTGGAGATGGACAGTGGTGATGGTTGCACAACATTATGAATGTATTTAATACCACTAAACTGTATACTTAACTGGTTAAGAAGGTAAATTTTATCTCATGTGTATTTTACCACAATTAAAAATAAAAAGAATTCTGAGAAAGATTATAGATTAGAAAGCACTAGGAATCTATTTCCCCACCTAGGCAACAATTTCACTAGCAGAATCTGATAAAATATTTTGGAAGTAGGGAGTCTGTTTGAAGGCTTGCGTCTTCCAAGAGAAGTCTTGGATATAAATTATGGCAACAGGGATCACGGGCTCTGGGCAGGAGGCTCTATGTAATTCTATTTGCCCTTTGGCTTTTTCTAGCCCATGTGGCTACAATCTTGTGATACTTATCTTCTTTTTCCTCCTACCCATTCAGTAGCCTTGTAACCAATTCCCAGCATTAAATTTCCCTATTTTAAACACCTATAGTTGTTTTGTTTTCTCTTTTGGACACTGACTAATAATCTATTTTTTCAATTAGATTAGGTCAATTTAGATCATATGCCCCCTTCTGGCCCCCCCCCAAAAAAAATTAGTCATATTCCCTGAATGGCTTTAGACCAATGGGGAGCCACTTCCCCAAAAGAGTTTCCTCTAAGTCACAAGGGATGCATGGGAAAGAGGCAGATACTTGACAAGAGTCAGGATTCTATTAATAAGGAAGAAGGAGGGAAGAGGTGCTTGGAGGGCAACCAAAGGTGTCCAAGGTAGCAAGAAACTAAACAAGAAACTAAGCCAGGATACATGTCCAAGTCCATAGGACTGGAAACACTAACAGCATTATACAGTACAGTATAGGGTAGAGTGTACCAGACTGGGACCCAAGTCTGCTCACTGCCAGTCTGAACTACAGTGTGTGCATGTATATGCCTGGAGAATGACTTGAATCCCCAGATCCAAGAGTGCAGACTCCGGTTGTTGGGTCATTAGAGCTCACAAGCCAGCATTTCACTAAGGGAGTATGCGTCACAACAAATTCTACTGTTTTCTAATTCCTCTTTCCCCTGGGGCAGTCCAGTTTTATCTCATGTGTATGTGTGTGTGTGTGTGTGTGTGTGTGTGTGTGTGTGTGTGTGTCTGCAAACCCACAGCTCTGATCATTATCAGCTCCTATGGAAGCTGGCAGACCTTCCATTAGTGGTGACAGTTTCCCTCTGTCATTATTTAAGTTGTGCTGAACAAAGGATACGTTGCTCTATATAATCTTCAGACTTTTTATTTTGCTGCATGACATAGAATTGATCAAGTCTAGGGTCAGCCACAGTCACATCAACTTTCTCCAATGTTCCTGCTAACTTACTGGAAAGAGTCTAAATTAAAGAAAAAATATTTGGCCGTTACCAGATCTGTCACTTAATATTTTTCTTTTAAAATATTGAACAGACTTGGGTATTTTCTGTTGTGTTTTAAGACTTTCTAAACTAAGGACAGGGTCTAGAGTTGTCGTTGTTCTTTTTTCTGTAGAATTGTTCTTAGTGGTGAATTCTGGATTTCAAAGGCTACCCACATAGGATGATCTCTACACACCCCTGAATAAATTTCTTCCTTAGATTTCCCTTCCTCCCTTCTGCCGTTCTTTCCTTCCTTCCCTACTTCCAACTCACTGGAATTTCTAAATGTACACATCAGATTTAAGCAGCTTATTACATACATTTTGCTTATTTTCTGAAGGATATCTCATGTTGTAAACATTGCATAATTGCCCAAGTCACTTTTGGGGGATAGACTGGGAGAGAGGTGAGCGTGTGGGAACAAATCCTATTGTTGGAATGCTGCAATAATTGCTGATTAACTTTAGATGACTCCCTGAGATAAAACAACTCACTTTTATCTCCTAATACAGTGAACATTCTCAGATTTTTCTGTGCTGTTCTTGAGGGTTGTAGGGGTCATAAAGTGTATAAGTAAGGGGAAATTCCAAGGAAGCCCAATTTGTATCTTCTAGAAATGAATACGGTGCTACCTACCACTTGTATATGGAGCAGGAGCAAGGGAGACGGTTGTGTCAGAGGAAGGTCTATAGTATAGTGGGGATATTTTGGGGTGATTAAGGGTTGCTGGGATCACTGGGACTGATTCAGGCCCTGACTAGTTAGGACAGAGCTTCTTAGGGCCTGTAAATTTTCACAGTGTATAAATCTCATTCCCAGCACATGCTTTAAAAGACACCCCATCTAAACAGAAACTTGTAACCCAATTTTTATGGTCCACAGTGTCTGGAAAGGTATACAGTTACTTAAGAACCCAGTGTTACTAAGCATGGTTAACAACACATTTTGAGGCTAGAACATGGTACAAAATATTTTCTCTATTTCTTTTGGGTTCATTTCAGGCCTAACTGAGTCAGCCTTAGAAAGGTACCTGGCCATCTCTTTTGCATCCTGCAAGTACCCCCAACAGGTAAGTCCAAGTAAGTTCCATCCTGAGATCCTGACAGTAAATTTTGACAGCCCTTCCTGGGTGTCTTTTTTCTCTTGTTTTGTTTTGTTTCCCTTTCGTTTTCTTTTTTTTCCTTTTCTTCTTCTTTCTTTCTTTTTTAAAATTTTTTTCTTTTTTAAATGGAGGTACTGGGGATTGAACCCAGGACCTTGTGCATGCTAAGCACACGCTCTACCACTGAGTTGTATCTTACCCCTCCCCGTAGGTGTCTTAGGTCGTTAGACTCTTTAAAGAGGCACATTTACAAGACAAACACTTCTACTGCTACTATTAATCACTTCTTATAAATACCTTTGATGCTTGTTAGGATAAAAGAACCCCTCCCTTTTGGAGGTGAGGGTGTGGAGGAACAAAGCAGGGAAAGGATTGGAGAACCCTATCCTGCTACATACCATAGATATCCACAGACCAGGACCTGGAGCAGTGGCTTTGAGACTCATGAGGACCTCGTGAGGACGGGATTGAGGAATTGAAAGCCTGCCTATGAGGCTTATTGTGTTAATGAAAGCATACGCGGAGTGGGGCCCACTCTGTGGGCAGTGGTATGGCATTGTAGTGACACAGCCTCCCTCCACCTTGGCAATTAGTACACCAGGACCTTCTTTTTAGATGCTAGAACCAGCCAAGCTCTGATCTGCAGTGAATATCTTTTCTGCTTCTTAAAATTCTTAGATTTTCTTTCTATGGGTTTCCATTAATAAGCATATTTAGGCAGAGAAAACTGTCTTATTTCCATGGAGTTATTTATAATAATATAAACTGAAATTCAGACCATCATATGAAATATATAAATATGACCAGAGGCTAAAAAGCATTGGGAGCATCTAATAAATATAACAAGTTATTTTTGCGGCAGCAATATTATTTTAAATACAAATTTTATTGAGACTAAATATGAGGATTTATTAGTTAATATTTATGAATCTGTTTAAGCTGCTCAGAGAAATGGATAATCTAAATAGCTATGCTTGGGAAGGCTGAAACGGGTTTGGGCTTGGTGACACAAAACCCTCATTTCTTGGCCTCTTTCCCCAGTATTTTGCAGGCAAACCCTGGCTCATTTGAAGCTTTGACCTTCAAGATTTCAAAGGAAGGAGCTGAGATGTACGTAAGCAGAAGTGTCACTTAAAATTTGTTTCTTTAACATTTGACACTCGAAAGAAAAAAAAAGTCTTTAATTTGACAGTTATGCACAAGAAAAGGGCACTTTTCCCCCTGAAGCAGTGTGCCATGGGGATTGAGAATGCAGGCTCTGGAGTCAAACTCCCTGGGCTCATATTCCAGTTCTGCTTCTTGCTAGCTGTGTGGCCTTGAGCATGTCACTTAACCTCTCTGTGCTTCAGTGTCCATCCTTAATGATGGCTTGGATATCTGGATGGCAATGTGCCAAATGGGATATGCCTTTTCGACCAAACCTTGTTGATAATGAGCACTTAACATATGCAAAGTGTGTAAGTAATGCTTTCTTTATCAGTCAGTAGTCTCATCCATAAGCAAGTTGCCATTAAGCACTATACTCCCCTGCAGTAAGAAGATTAACTGGAAAACCAGTGGAAGTTCATAGAATAGAAAAGAGGCAGGAAGGCCAAGTTTAGAAAAAGGGTAGGAGTCTAGGATGCCATGGGAGCAGGCAGCAAGAGCCATGCCCAGCACTCCCAGGACTGGTCTGGCTTGGAAGCGCCTCTGCACACAGATGCATCTGACTTCCATTCTCTCCTGTTGCATCCGCTTCCTTGCTTCATAGTCCCAGAATCAAGGATATTTGGGTGAGTTTCTGGCTTGGCTGTTCCTTCCTTCCTCCTTGCATTGTATCAGGAGTGGATAAAAGACGTATCTGACCCCCTTGGTTTCCATAATGGGAGGTGGCAGTAGAAAGTAGTCACTGGGATCTGTCCTTTTGCCAAGATGGCATAAAATGGAGAATTCTACCAGTTGGAATATGTGATGCTTTGAGTGGAGGTGTGTGGATTCTGGGAGGTCAAAAAAAAAAATCACAGATCCTGCTTTACCTGTATGAGACTTCAAAATTTCCTTATTAACTACATGAGCAGTGCTGTGCTCGTAACTGTTAACAACTGGCTCTCTGGCCCTGATTTGTGGCATCTGTACATTTCCACAGGGCAAATACGTCCACTGTGGCCAATTTCAAGCTACCTACATGACATCTAAGCACAGCAGTAAAATACTGTTAAATAACACTTCAGCTATACAGCTACGACATGTAAATAATCTCAAGTGCATAGATAACAGTAAAATGTAGTAAAATAATTAGGAAGCTTGAGTATGAGTTTCGAGTATTTACTACCTTTGTGGTTAACATAATTTATTTAATTGTAAGTTTATATGATTTAATTTTTAATCATAGCTGAATTTTAGCAAATGGCTTGCAAAATTTTTGAGAAAAAATTTTATGAGCCAGTTCCAGCATACCACTGCCCATGAGGTAGATTAACAATGTTACTGAGAGAGAGGGAGAGAGTTTGAGGGATCAAGAAATTCCTTACACTGTAAGATACTTGGTGGAGAGGCCTAGGACCTGGGAATTTGGTACAGCAGGGCTATAACATTGGGGACTCTCAGTAACAGAATAATAATAGTGTTTAGTAAAATGCATTCTTACTCAGCATCCCACTTGTTTTTGTTCCTCACAACAAAGCCAAGGAAACAGTGAGAAAGGTGTGTTACAGGTGAGGGGACTGAGAGTCAGAGAGCTGAAGCAACCACTGACATGTGTTCCTACGACCAGAATTAGGTCACAGCTTTTTTCCATCCTGTTTCTTTGAACCCCCCTGCTATTACTGGAAGAGTTATTTATTATAGGAAGCCTATTAAATAATTTGGGATGTGTACGTAAGGCCTTATTCCCTGAATTCAGCCCAGGGCCCTTTCCTGTATCTTCACAAAGAATGCGATAAAGTCGGAGGCTCATGGAGTGGACAGTGATAACCTATTGTGTTAGCAGCTCTGGTAGCCAGACTCCAAGATGGCCACCAATGAGCCTTACCCCTGGTGTTCATGTCCTTGGACTCCTACATCGAATAGGGCTGACCTACCTGTGTGACCTGCAGAAGTCTTTCTGCAGTAGGATACCGCAGAAATGAAGGTATATGACTTCTGAAGCCAGCCGTAATTGGAGCTGCAGTTTCTGCCTTGTTCTCTTGGATTGTTAGGGGACATGCTCTCAGCTCTCAGCTCTGGTGCTCAAGGGGAAGTCAGCAGAGGGTTGTGCAGCCAAGCAGCCCTGTGGAGAAGCCCATATTGTAAGGAACTGAGGCCTCCTACCAACAGCCAGCACTACTTAGAAGCCATGTAAGTGAGCCACTTTGGAGCCGGATTCTCCAACTCCAGACAGTCCTTCAGGTGACTACCACACTGGTGAACCTGACTGCAAACTTGCAAGAAACCCAAAGTCAAAGTCACCCATCTAAATGCTCCTAAATTCTTGACCCACAGAAACTGTTAGGGGTATGTTTATTTTTACCAATGTTTATGTTGTTTTAAGCCGTGAAGTTTTGGGGTAGTTTGTTACACAGCAACAGATAAACTGGATTTCTTTCAAAGCTGTACCATATGGACTGTGGGTGATCTTAGTCAGATACAGAGAGGCCTTACGGGCTTAAAGGAGCACTTTGTTGTTGTTGTGTGGCTTTGTTTTTGCTTTCCACCAAAGAAACTGTATTCTAGGTCAACATTGGAAGACTTTGTACAATGTAACTGTTGAAATGCGTTTTCTCTTTAATGCTTTTATGAATGACTTGTCCACAGCAAAGTGCAGTCTATATTAAGTGCATCTGCAACTCTGAAGAGCAAGGCAGCTTGAACTGGCGTTCACTCGGGCACCCTTAAGTCATCTCACAGCTCTTTAGATCCCACCTTCACTGTCACCTTTAATACATTTGGTCTCTGGGCTATGGTATCTTCTGCCCTTTGGGAAAGCTTGGACAGGGAAAAATAATGAAATAAATTTATTAAGAAGGGAGGGGCTAGAGACCTCATTGTATGTTAGGGTTGGGAATATTAAGATCATTTGCAAAATAACCAGCCCCAGCCATCTCCTGGGAGGCCAAGCGGTGCGTCTCCGCCCGCTGAAGTTCGCGCCTAGAAATATCCGCTCACGTCCCCAGGAGCGCAAGAGAGGCTCTCAGCACAGCGGGAGACTGTTCCTATTGGGAGCCCGGATTACACCAGCTCCTTGGCGCGCGTTTCTTCTGAGCTGGGGAAGGCGAGGTCGGACCCCGGAGCTGGCGCCCACGGCGAGGCACCCTTGCGCGGTCAGGAGGAGACCGGAGGTGGGACCCGGGCGGCGCGCCTCGTCCGCCAGAGGCAACCCACGCCGAGAGCGCACGGCCACCGAACGCCGGCGCCTCCAGCATGGAGTGGGAGCTCAACTTTCTGCTCTATCTGGCGCTCTTCTTCTTCCTGCTCTTCTTACTTTTTCTCCTGCTCTTTGTGGTCATCAAGCAGCTGAAGAACTCTGTGGCCAGCACCGCCGGGGCCCTCCAGCCCGGGCGCCTCTCGCTGCGCCGGGAGCCTTGGGGTTTCTCCCAGGAGCAAGCGGTGTAATCAGCACTGCGCGGCAACCGGCTGGAGGGCATGGAGCTGTGCGGGAGCCGAGCTGGGACTCGGCCTCGATTCTCCCGCCGCACGGCTGCCGGGGTTCTAGGGCCAGGCTTGGCTGCCTCGTTGGCAGGTCCGTTTAGGCGTAGGAGGGGTTGGCAAAGGGGTGCGTTTCCCCGCTCCTCCGGGAGGCTGGTGCTCGGATGTCATGGACCGCGAGTGTATGGGGTCTGGGCTGGCGCTGTGCTCTTAGGGAGGGACCCTAAGCTTTCCGGGGCGAGAGAGATGCAGAAAGAGAAAAGTTAAGCTCTTGGAGCTGAAATGGCTTTGAGCACCTGCAAGCTCTTCTTCCCAGTCTAGCTGCATTTTATCTTGAACCCAAGGGGAAGAAAACTAAATTACTCAGACGATTCAGTCCAGCTACTTCCAAACAAAACTGAATGCCAGCCTAACCTTTGGGAAAGGAGGCGGGAGGAAACAGGCTGCACTTGAAGTATTCCAAATACTTTAAGTATCATTATGCTTTGGTAGACGCTAAATGGGGTTCAATTGGCAGTGCCAGGAGACAGGATTCAGCAGCCCAGATTTTGAGGAATCTCTTCTTCCCCTTGATCCTTACTGCTGTTGTAGACGCCGGCCTGGTAAGGTGCCTGCGCATTGCTGTGGCGGGTAGGCTTGTAATCTGGAGCAGCAGGAGGATGAGCGTTAGAGTGGGAGTCACTGGAAGAGTCCTCGGGGTTGCTATGGAGGGCTGGAGAAAAGAGACAGTTTACACGTTGCAGGGCAACAGGAAAAGGACAGGAAGAGCGAAGCTGTCATTTCAGCAAGGCTGCCTGTCCTACGTGATTAGAACGTTGGTGGGAAGACTGACGGGCAGGAGTAAAGTTCTCACCAGTGTGCCCTAAGTACCCTCCCAGCAATGTTAGTTTGGGAAATAACAACTTCATCTTCCAGATGCTTTTTCCTCGATTTACGCCATCACAAGTCCTGGAGCACCGCATCGGGCTGGTGCGCGGAGGATCGCAGCTTCAGTTACAGGCGGCTAACGGGGAACCCTGCACGGAGGGGCTGGAACAACCGGAGATGGAAGTTTTCTGCGATGGTAAGCAGGGGCCACTCTTGGTTTCACTTTGTCCCTAGGTAAACTTCTAAAGACCCAGGACCTAAAACAGTGAGAGGTTAGGATGGAGGAAATGGGTACAATGAAATAAAGGGCACTCTTCCACTCAGAACTGACGAGCTTTGACGAGCTTCTCCTGGAACCTAGGAGACATGGCTTTCCTAACCCAGTCCAAGAGTCAGTGTCTAAGTGGAGGATCATAATCTTTTAATTAAAATGGGATGTGAGGAGTGACTGCAATTTTAATAAATACTCCGTTCTTTTGGAAACCAGCGCAGGGGTTCTTGAAGTTGAAATATGGAATGCAGATATAACTTGTCTTTAATAAGGGAAGATTTAGCTTCAGTCATGTTTATGGTAGGATAAGCTGTCCATGTGATGACTGTAACACTGAAAATATTTACTAATTTTAGGCACAAAGAAAGACCATGTAGAAGGGCTAAAAATAACAAAATACTGAGTTTTGCCTAAGTTGATAATATGAAAGTGAAATGAAAGATGATTATTTTAATAATTCAAGAGAAGGAAAAAATAGTCTCATTTAGGTGAATAATTATGGGGAAAGTTTTGGCCTGAGACGTTCAGATAATTTCCCACATTTTCTATTTTGCTCTACTAGAATAGAACTGTTGTTAATGAAGTAAGTGGTTTATTTTAAATATAATGTCATAAGCAAATTCTCATATGTACATATATACATATATATATATATATATACACACACACACACACCTCTCTTTATCGAGGTATAGTAAGACTTGATTTGAATTCCCAGTTTGAATCTCAGAATCAACTGCAGTGCTTTTATATTGTACTGTGAACAATAGCTCTCTAATTGGTTATCATGTCTGCAGTGGCAATTAGTTACACAGTTGTATGATTAATATGGACTTCGAAGATGGATGTGGGAATAATTAATAAGCAATAATAATTGTTTACAAGGCTGGAAAATAATCACTTCATACTTTATAAATAATCAGAATGTAAATTATTATAACCATAACCTGCTTGACTTGATTTTTTTTTTGAAGTTAGATCATCAAGGTAGTGAGGTTTTTTCCTTTTTAAATATTTATTTATTTATTTTTTAATGGAGGTACTGGGGATTGAACCCAGGACCTTGTGCATGCTAAGTGTGCATTCTACCACTGAGCTATACCCTACCCCTCTTTTATTTTTTTAGTGAAGTTTAGTCAATTTACAATATTGTGTTAATTTCTGGTATACATCATAGTGATTAAGTTATACATACATACATATTCTTTTTCATATTCTTTTTTGTAATAGGTATTACAAGATATTGAATATATTTCCCTGTGCTATACAGTAGGACCTTGTTGTTTATCTATTTTGTATATAGTACTTTGTATCTGCTTATCCCAAAATCCCAGTTTATTCCCACCCACCATGGCCCCTGGTAACCATAAATTTGTTTTCTATGTCTTTGTAATTCTTTATTCTTCCTAGCAGTACCACTGGTGTACAAAGATTTAAACCACTCTGACTCTTCCAGACAGGAAACTATAGAGAACGCAAGGTGAGTAGTTTGCTGCCATCCCACTGTTAAGCCAATCTCTTTGCTGGTTCTACTGACTCAGTTTCGTACGAACAGAGTGGTTGCCTTTCTATCTTGTGGCCGGTGCCATTTTATAACCTCCCCAGAATCTAATTCATTCATTATTAAGTTCCCATTTATCCAGGCAAAAATGAATATTTATTCCTATTACCCAATTTCCTCCTGGAACTTGGCCCTAAACTGTGAGAATGAAGGGTTCTCACATTTGCTATCAGAACTTGGTGCTTTTGATCTCCTGCTTTGCATTTCTTTGTTGGAGATCTTGCTTTTGAAACTTGGATACTTGCATATAAGCTGCCTTGTTTTATTCATTTATTCAATCATCATTTTTCAAAACCCAGCATAGACCCATCTCCCACATTAGAACTACTTTTGAACTCACATTACTTACATTTTTTGCTACTTGTACACATTTTTTTAACTGAAGTATAATCAGTTATAATGTATCATTTTTTGTATACAGAGAACAATGTCCCAGTCATGTATATACATACACATATATTCATTTTTATATTCTTTTTCATTAATTTTTATAAGATACTAAATATGGTTCCCTGTGCTATACAGAAGAAATTTGGTTTTTAAATCTGTTTTTATATATAGTGGCTAACATTTGCAAATTTAAAACTCCCAAATTTATCCTTTCCCACTTCCTTTCCCCCAATAACCATAAGATTGTTTGCTATGCCACTTGTACACATTCTTTTTTTGATATATATATATATATTTATTTATTGAAGTGTAGTCAGTTTACAATGTTGTGTCAGTTTCTGGTGTACAGCATAATGCTTCAATCATACATGAACATATATATATATATATTTGTTTTCATACTCTTTTTCACCATAAGTTACTACAAGATAGTGAATATAGTTCCCTGTGCACTACAGTACGAACTTGTTGTTTATCTATTTTATATATAGTGGTTAGTATCTGCAAACGATCAGGGTTTCAGGCTTGTACATGTTGGCTGCTGCATCCACTGACCACACCACGGGCCTGGCAACCACCATACCAAGTTTATTTTGGAAGACAGTGTACATATGAGCTAGACATTAAAACCCTTGAAAAATCAGGAATATTTAAAAGAACTGCTCATTATATGTGTAACTTGATTATAGAACATTGCTATTATTATTTTATTTTCAATAAAAGGTTTTTAGTGACTCTTCAGCAATGTTAGAAGCTGAGTTGAATTTCTTACATTATAAGGAAATGGATCGTAATTTGATTATTATGTAATATTAGTATTCTGTTTCAACTGTTCTTATTTCATTGTTGTTTCTAAAGTTCAGCGGTTTAAAGTGACTTCAAATCTTATTAGGATAACCTTGATTGTTTTACTGATTTCCAAACTTGTAAGTGCTGAGTCTACAGATCTACCTGGAAAGAGAACCATTTTAAGTTGAATCAGAATGACATCACCATCATACCTGTAAAACCTAAAATGTCTGATAAAGTAGATTCCTATGTCTAAACTTCAATTTTAAGGCACAGCTGTAGATGCGGGACTGATGCCATCTGGTGTGATTCCACAGAATAAGAGAGAAAATTTACCCAGAGTGTGCCATGCACTGGCTTTTCTGGGAATGACAAGGTGCCAGGGTTTGTTTTTGGTTCACTTGCAGGGGTGGAAACTTGGAACTAGGTGAGTAAAAAATATGCAATATCCCATTTTTAGCATGGCATTTCATGTTTCCAATCTTGCCTATAGTTTCAAAATAAATGCAGTAGAGTTAAAATTTTTTAATACCCAAAGTTTTAAACATTATAAATGGTTAAACCATTTAGGAGATTGGGAAATGCTTATTTTTTGTTACTTATACCTACTAACCTAGGGTCTTTTAGCATAGTAACAGTACTAATGCAGTACATAGAGAGTACCTGCACAATATTGTACTTTGTAATTTTTACAGCTACTCTGAGGTATTAAATTACATCCCACAATTAAAACTCTGGGGACATTAGGAAATTGCTGTTAGATGTCTGTGTCACATACAAGGGAAAGTTAAAAATTGACCTGTAGATCTTTGATGTTGATTTTTTGCGTGGGAGGGGTTGAATCAATGAAATAATTCTCAGTTCTCCCTTTCTTACTTTGTCTATGCAAAATAAAGTTATAGATTAAATAATCTGACTAATTATCTGAGTAGTTAGCATCTTACCATATAAGAATTTGAGTAATCAGAAGGGCAGACCTGTGTTTAGAAGAGTAATCAGAACATAATAAACACTCAAAAGAACTTCCTGCTGGATTAAGCTAAAAACCCTCTTATTTACCTTAATAGCAGCTAGCTATTTTACACAATAAGCCTAATCATTTCCTCCACCTTCAGTCTGTAAAAGTGTTGGTGGGTTCAAGTTAAAATTTTTATACTTTTGTTTTATTAATGGGATTCTCTGAAGTTACTTGAACTTTTTGACTATGTACAGATTCTTCAGGTAAGATTTTTTTTTATTTTCAGATGAAAATCTTTCTTATTGGGAATCCAGGTGGATTGCTTTCTTGAAATTCCTGAACAGTGGCTTAAACAAAGTAGGGGTTTCATTTTGCTCTCGTGTAACAAGAAGGTAGGGGGTAGGCTGTCACTGGTGTTGGTTCAGCAGCTCACAGGTGTCAGGGTCAAGGTGGCCCCTGAGATTCCCATGGCTCTTCCCTTAGGTTCCAAGACAGTTGCTGCAGTTCCCCGCAAGAAGACGGAGGAAGCCCAAAGGAGAAACAGGGCATACTCGCTCCGCTTGAGTCAGCTTCCTCTTAAAGAGCTTTCCAGGCAGCCCAACAATGTTTGCCTACATCTCACTGGCCAGACTGTGTCATTGGCTACTGTTATCTCTAAGGTTGCCTGAAAAATGTAGTTTTTGCAGCTGGACATATAATTGCCTTCAACAAAAATCTGAGTTCTCTGGATTAGGAAGAAGATAATGGTGGATCATGGGTGAACGACTGGCAGTCTGTGCTCTGGATACACAATACAAGAAAGGAGCATAACATTTGAAACAGATCAAAACTGTAGTTTCTTGACAACCGGCAACACTCCAAGCAACAGTGCTCTGCTCTGAGAGGATGAGCAGGAGTGAAGACATGCTGGGTTTTCTTAAGAAATTCTTGGCAGGACTGACCTTATTTCTGAGCCATATACTTGCCCCCATCGAGATTTTCTAGAGCAGGACCCTGGGAAGCTGCACACTTTCTTGGAAGACATAATCTCTTCGTGGAGGTTTGAAATGAGATAAGGAAGGCTGTATCTTGCTGCTTCCCCATCTGCTTCATGTATCTTTTCTCCAATTTTCCTGCCAAATTTTTTGGTGGAGTCTAGTTGTGTATTTGATCCCCATAAAATGTTTATCCCTTTCATGCACAGGAGAGGGTAATCTCTGTGTGGAAAGGCTACTTTACTCCCCTCTGTGACTCCACCACCCATCTAGGAATATCCTGGGACAATTGCTTCTCAGAGCTGCTTCCATAAGCAGCCTACATCCTGGCTAAGCAAAAGCAGAAGAAACACTTCCCACATCCAGGGCTGTCCAAAAGAACTTCCTGTGATGACAGAAATGTTCTATATCTGCAGTGCCTAATGTGGTACCCAGTAGCCACACGTGGCTAGTGAACACTTGAAATGTGGCTAGTGTGACTGAGGAAGTAAAATTTGATTTTATTTAATTTTAAATAATTTTTAAAAATTGAAATAAATTAAATAGCCACATGTGGCTCGTGGCTATTGTGTTGTAGATTATAGCACAACCCTTTCCCTTTCTCGTGTTTTAGAACTTGCTGGGAGGGGTGTGAGCAAGTCATATGCTGGCATTCCATGGTCTTCACGGTCCCATCTTGCCATTGAACTTGTCTCTCAGAGGAGAAAGAAAAATGATATTTTGGAACTAAATTCAAGATGTTAACTTGACATTTCTACATTGCACATATTCCTGTATAAATGGAACGGTCTCCTGGGAACAGGTCCTGTGACTGATGCTGGTGATAACTGATGGGAAGGTGGTGGTGCCGGTCCACTTAACATTCCTAGTGAACATTCTGTGCTCCTAGTCAGAGTGAGTTGGTGGAGATTATTTTATTCTGTTGTGCAATTCATTCTGTGTTACTTTATTTTTGTAATACTGTGGCTGCTAAATGATTGTTCTGTATCTGTTTTTCAAAATATTCAGTGGTTTATATTTTTTAAAAGGCTATGAAATAAAAAAATGCTAAATGTATGTATCTCAGCTTTTTGAATGTGTGAATTATTATTACCCATACTTTTTGAAGAGATAATTAAATTTGCTTTTTTTTTTGGAGGGGCGGTCATTAAGTTTATTTATTTATTTTTAGAGGAGGTCATGGGGATTGAACCCAAGACTTTGTGCATGCTAAGCATGCATCTCTACCTCTTGAGCTATATCCTCCCCTTCAAAGAGTTAATTAGGATGAGGTTAGTGAATGGAAAAAAATTTTTTTGTATCGGATTTCCTTTGTAATAGGCATATCTATATGCCAATTAATGTTATCTTTTAAAAATATCGAGTGCTTCTTTCATTGTATACAGAGTTTTGGTACAATATGATGGTGATAATGGTATTGGGTAAATTCTTTTCTCAAGTGTCTGGTTGCTTTTCTACACTAAGTATCACTTGAATCTTGTTTCAGTGTCCTGTTTTGGGCTCTTTGTCTTTTGTTATTGAGTTCTAGGAATTCTTGAAACTATCCTAGACACTATTCTTTTATCAGAAATGTTTCACAACAATTTTCTTCTAATTTGTGGATAGCCTATTCATTTTCCCAATAATGTCTTTAAAAGAGAGATTTTTAATTTTGAAGATAAATTTATTGTCTTTTTATTATTATTATTATTGCTTTCTGTGTCCTCTTTAAGAGGCTTCTGCCTATCTTTCAGGTCACAAAAATATTCTCCTGTGCTTTCTTCTAGACTAGAAGCTTTATAGTTTTAATTTTACTGTGTCTGTTCTCTATCTCAAATTAATTTTTGTGTTTGCTTTGAGCTAAGGATTGGGTCCTCCCCTCACCATATAGATGAACAGTTTTCCCCCTATTTGCTGAAAAGACTTTTCTTTCCCCATTGGATTGCTTTGGCATCTCTGTTGAAAATCAAATGACTACATAAGTGTGGGACAATTTCTGGGCTCTCTATTCAATTTCATAGTATCATCCTTAAGCTATTACCTCACTCTCTTGATGACTGTATTTTCACGATGTCTTGGTATTCACCACAAAATGTTATAAACTTGAACATTTATAATAAACTCCTACTAAAGACTCCACACACAAAAGGACACTTCAGTAATTTCAGTTGAAAATGGTTAAATTCAATAAGAAATCCCCACCCTGATACCGTGCTTCCTTTATCCTTGCTCGTAGCACCACCCATAATCTGAATCTGGATCTGGAGTAGAACTTGGTCAAAAGTATCCTCATAAGTACAAAACATCCTTTTTTCTGTTATTACAGTTGGGAGCAAACTGCACTTTTTAAAGGGATTTTTTTTTTACTAGAAAGCTAAAGTGATAAACAATAAACAGAAAACAGAGAGGCTCGTGAGTTGTTAGGGTCCCAGCTTCTTCACCGACATAAGTTGAGCCAGGTGGGACTGCCTGGCTCACGTATCAGGACAGCCGTTTGGATGTTTACCCCTCACCTCAGTGGTGCCTGACACTTGAGTGGCTGGATACCTGATCATGCTTTTTAGAAATTTTAGCTGAGGTGGTTTTGATACAGGAAAATGTGGGGTGAGAAGATGGCCATGTCCCAGGTCACGGCTGAGTCTCTGGGACATGCCTCACCAAGTGTGGGTCTTTGGCTTCACTTAGGAAAGAATTCAAGAGTGAGCCACAGTTGAGTAAAAGTAGATTTATTCAGAGAGATACATACTCCATAGACAGAGTGCAGGCCCTCTCAGAAGGCAAGAGGAAGGCCATGAGTGCAGGGGTTGGGTGCTCAGTTTAAAGTAAAAGTAGATACACACTCCATAGACAGAGTGCGGGTCATTTCACTTAGAAGGGAGAGCTGTCATGAGGTTCTGTGTTGGTCGTTTTTATGGGCTCGGTAACTTCATATGCTAACAAGTGGAAGGATTATTCCAACTACTTTGGCAAAGGGGATGGGATTTCCAGGAATTGGGCCATCATCCACCCTTTGACTTTAGTGGTCAGCCTTGAAACCATACTGGCACCTGTGGGAGTGCCATTTAGCATGCTATTGTATTTCAGTGAAATTATATTGAAGTTCAAGGTTTTCTGGGAGTTGAATTTCCCACCGTCTTGGTGCTAACTGCTATGTCCTTCTTTTAATGGCTGTGCCCTGCCACCTTCCCTCCTGTCTCAGTTTGATTGGCACCAAATCATGTCTCATGCCCCGTTTTATTTGCATGCAGTTTTCTGAGCATGCGACTTCTTATCCTTGACACATCTTGACTGGGAACTCATTGCAAAGTCTCAACCCATTAGAGGAAAAGTGAATGATGGTGCCATCCACCTCCCACTACTATAATCTCACTCCTCTCCTTGAAACTGTTGCTAACAATTTGCTGTATATATTTTGAAATGACTTTCTGTGTATTTTCTACGTATAGTTAGCCAGTCACATTTAATCACATTTACATGAACGTGCATAAAAGCTTTAAAAACATATATAGTCAGCATTAGATGATAAACATGCTGCAATTTGCTTTCATCTCTAATATGTTGTGACAGGTTGTATTTTCCAAAAGATGGCTACAACATTGCCTTCCATCTCACATACTCTACAATGTGACTTTGACATTGAGAGATAGGGTCTATGTCCCCTTCCCTTGAATTGGGGCAGGCTTGTGACTATAGAAAGTGTCACTTTTGGCAGAAGTGACACTGACTTATGAAGCTAGGTCAGGAGAGACAGTGCAATTTTCCCACCATTTGATGGACTACCTACTTTCAGAGCCCTGAGGCACCATGTAAGATTGGGAGTATCCTGAGGTCAGCATCATTTTCTGAAGAAGCCCAGGCAAAGGCAGAGGCCCCATGGAGGTGCTTTAGTTGAGTGCCCCAGCTGGCAAATAAGCTCCAGCTGTTGAGTCCTCCGAGCTAAGGTTCCAGACTTCATGCAGCAGAAACCAGCCAATCTCACTGTGCCCTGGCTGAATCCTCGGGGTTAAGTCACTAAGTTTTTAGAGAGTTTGTTATAGCAATAGTAACTGAAGAATATGTCTTTAAAAGTTGTAATAAAAATAGAATCATCTTTATTTTAAATTGTTGTATGGGATACACAGCAATTTAATGAGTATACGCTATTGATGGACGTTGCATTTGTTGCCATTTTTCTTCAGATTGTATTTATACAAGTATTGCTGGGTCAATTGGTTTAGAAATTTCAAGAGTTGGTAGATTCTGACAGTGTCCATCCTAAATGATTGTGCCAGTATATTTGCATCCACTTTCCTACATTATTTGACATTATAGGTATTTTAAAAATTTGATATTATAAGGAACAAAAAAACATTGAAAACTTATTCATCTGATTTGAAAAATTGAGGGAAGTTTTCCTCTTGTTTCATGTTTATTGACCATTTTAATTTCCTTATCTCCAAGTACATGTTCAAATTTTCTACCTGTTTTTCTAATGGGTTGTTTATCTCTTTGCAAGTAATTTATATGTGACAGAGATATATAATGACTACATGCATAATGAACATATATACATATATTTAATAATGACTGTATATAAACTCATTATATGTATATGCATGTATACATACAATATATGTACTAATCATTTGTCTGTTGGAAGTTGAATCGTTTTCTCCTGGTCAGTTGTCTGTGTTTAACTTTGTCATACTGATGTTTGCATGGCAGTGTGAGGAATACCC